ACCTGGGGGTGCTGGTTGACAGCTGGCTGTCAACAGATGAGCTGGCAGTGTGCCCAGGTGGCCAAGAAGGCCAACGGCATCCTGGCTTGTATCAGAACTAGTGTGGCCAGCAGGACTAGCAGTGATTGTCCTCCTGTACTTGGCCCTGGTGAGGCCGCACCTCGAATACTGTGTTCAGTTTTGGGGCCCTCATAAGAAGAAAGATACTGAGGTGCTGGAGCGTGTTCAGAGAAGGGCAATGAAGCTGGTGAAGGGTCTAGAGCACAATCCTTATGAGGAGCGGCTGAGGGAACTGGGGTTGTTTAGTCTGGAGAAAAGGAGGCTGAGGGAAGACCTTATTGCTCTCTACAACTACCTGAAAGGAGGTTGTAGCGAGATGGGGGTCGGCCTCTTCTCCCAAGTAACAAGTGATAGGAGAAGAGGAAATGGCCTCAAGTTGCACCAGGGCAGGTTTAGATTGGACATTAGGAAAAATTTGTTCACCGAAAGGGTTATCAAGCATTGGAACAGGCTGCCCAGGGAAGTGGTTCATCATCCCTGGAGGTATTTAAAAGACATGTAGATGTGGCACTTAGGGACACGGTTTAGTGGTGGACTTGACGGTGTTAGGTTTACGGTTGGACTTGATGATCTTAAAGGTCTTTTCCAACCTAAACAATTCTGTGATTCTATGTAGAAGCCCTTCTTGTTGCCCTTCACGTCCTTTACCAGATTTAACTCTAGGTGGGCTTTGGCTTTCCTGAACGCATCCATGCATGCTGGGACAGCATCTCTGTATTCCTCCTGGGTCACCTGTCCCTGCTTCCACCTCTTGTATGCTTCCTTTTCATGTTTCAGTTGTACCTTGAGTTTTATTTGTAGCTGAGCACTTTATTTTTGTCCATGAGGTTTGACGTCAGGATTTTTCTCAGTCCCAGTGTTACTTTGCAGAATAACAACATTAATTTAAAATGGATGTTTTAAGTAGAAAAAAATTTTCAATTTTCCTGGACAGCATCATTACCTACCTGCTATTATTATAACGTTGTTTACTTTAGAATGTTGCCAAGAAGCTTTTAATGGTAACAAAAAAATGGAACTAATCCACATTGAAATCATGCATTGTTGTGTGATGAGTTAGCTGACTCGGCTGACTGCGTAGCTGGGTGTGTGATAGTGCAGCCATGAGGAATGCCATGGGAGGGAGGCAGGCAGGCAAGACTGGGATGATCTTGTTTGGAAACAGCAAGGATGTGTGGTGTCGCAGCCAGCTTACGCTGCTGCATCTGGCATAGCGTTTGCATTGCCGCCTGCTGTGCCACCAATGCCGTGAGAATGTATGACACTGGGCCACAAGTAGGACTTCTTCAACAGCCCTAACTGATAAGAGAAAACAAGAAGTAAAGTTAGTGTGGCATTTCTTAACCGAGGTTACAGTGTGGCCTATCCCCTAAAGATGCTTCCAAAGGTTTTAGATACCGTGGAATACATTCTTGCCTCTTAGAGGAAAAATGTAAGACTGCCACTGAATAATTTGTTTTCAAACTGAGTTGCTTTCTTTTTTTTTTTTTTTGTTGGCTAAAGTGAACTGTAAATACTGTATTAAAATCAGAAGTGAGGTTGATGCCTAGATATTAACAGCACACTGAAACTCTTTCTGAGTTGACGAAGGGGCTGGATGCCTAGTTTGTGAACAGTTCTGTAGTTGTTTCTTGGAAGCATATCATCCTTCTGCTCTGTGTTTCTGCCATCCTTGTTTGCACATGTCTTTCTCTACTCTACTTATGTGGCTGTTCAGAGTTTAGCCATTCAAAACAAAAGCTGGTGTCTGGGTGAGATTAATATGCTAACTATAGCTAGTATTATGGGATTTTAGCATTTTTAATGAAACGTCTTATTTTTTAAGTATTCAGTTGGGAGTTAGATTTTTATTCTCAGCTTTTCAAGAGACAGATATGCTTCAAAAAGTATGGATGTTCATCCTCATTCTCACAAAGATAACTTTGCTCCAGCTCAACTTCCTGAACTTTGCTCTGCAAATCTTTTTCTGTAATTTATCTTTCCTGTACATAGTGAATTGTTTCTCAGTGGTTTGGATTTTTCAACCAGCAAAGAAGGAAATGAGACAATTAGGTACAGCATTTCAAATAGCCAAAACCCAAATAATGAATCACATTAGCTGAACTTACTACTGGTGCACTTAAAAAATACGTACCGTAGCAAACTACTTGCCTTAGCATTTAAGATCTTCGCATTAGCCTCAAAATGCAGATCTCTGCGTTAGCCTCAAAATGGCTATGACAATGTTGACTCCAAACATGGAAAAAGAACCTTGAGTCTGTCTTTTCTGGTAAAAGACCCGAAATCTTTGAGGAAAATAACAAATGTGTCTTTCACTAATTTGTATATATTTTCTGTTACAGGGTGAGGAAATCACTAAGGAGGAGATTGACATGCTGAGTGATGCTTGCACCAAGCTGCAGGAACAGAAAAAATCACTAACAAAGGAAAAGGAGGAGCTTGAGGAATTGAAGGGTGATATCCAGGAATATAATGAGGTGAAGAATGGGGCATGGAAGTTCTTTTTTTATTTCTGTTCAGGTTTAGTTTTAGCGTAAAACAGGGGTCTGTACGGGGACCAGTACTGTTTAATATCTTCATCAATGACATAGACAGTGGGATTGAGTGCACCCTCAGCAAGTTTGCAGATGACACCAAGCTGAGTGGTGCGATCGACACACCTGAGGGACGGGATGCCATCCACAGGGACCTGGACAAGCTCGAGAAGTGGGCCCGTGTCAACCTCATGAGGTTCAACAAGGCCAAGTGCAGGGTCTTGCACCTGGGTCGGGGCAACCCCCAGTAGCAATACAGGCTGGGGGAGGAAGGGATTGAGAGCAGACATGCCGAGAAGGACTTGGGGGTACTGGTGGACAAAAAGCTGGACATGAGCTGGCAATGTGCACTTGCAGCCCAGAAAGCCAACCATATCCTGGGCTGCATCAAAAGAAGCATGGCCAGCAGGTCGAGGGAGGTGATTCTGCCCCTCTACTCTGCTCTGGTGAGACCCCACCTGCAGTACTGCGTCCAGCTCTGGAGCCCTCAGCACAGGAAAGACATGGACCTGTTGGAGCGGGTCCAGAGGAGGGCCACGAGGATGATCAGGGGGATGGAATGCCTCTCGTATGAAGAAAGTCTGAGAGAGTTGGGGTTGTTCAGCCTGGAGAAGAGAAGGCTGTAGGGAGACCTTATTGCGGCTTTTCAAAACTGAAAGGGGGCTTATAAGAAAGATGGGGACAAACTTTTTAGTAGGGCCTGTTGTGACAGGACAAGGGGGAATGGTTTTGAACTAAAAGAGGGTAGATTCAGACCAGATATGAGGAAGAAATTTTTTAATATTAGGGTGGTGAAGCACTGGCACAGGTTGCCGGGAGAGGTGGTAGATGCCCCATCCCTGGAATGTTCAAGGTCAGGTTGGACGGGGCTCTGAGCAACCTGATCTAGTTGAAGATGTCCCTGCCCATGGCAGGGGGGTTGGACTAGATGACCTTTAAAGGTCCCTTCCAACACAAGCTATTATATGATTCTATGATTCTATAAATGATCCACAGATTTAAAGATTATCTTGCTTGGATGTCTGTTAGCCTGTAATTGGTAGCTGAGTGAATGAACTTTGTATGGGACAGTGCAGAGCCTCATATGTATAATGTGTTTAAAGCCTAGTTAAAATCATTGGAGTAGTTCCTACCAGATGAGAATCCTGTTCCTGCTCTTATTCCCGGGGTGACTAGACTAACAGGTGCTGACTTACTGCTGCGTGCTGCAGTTCTTTCTTATCAAGCATAGATGTCAGTATTACAGATAACTTCAAGTTAAGTAAGATGAATCTTGCCAATCTTATGAAAGATGTGGAAAATAACATTTAAGGGGTGCATGAAAAAGGCAGCAGTGTTAGAATTTATTGTTCTAGTTCTAGTTTGGCTTTATATGTCTATACATTTGCATTTCATTTACAAATGGCTTCTGTCTTGAAATGCTAGTCAAAGTCAGTAGTGTCTGTTGTTGAGAATTCACACCAACAAAAGCTTTTCTTTCTCTTGACCACTTTTTTTAGGATTTGCAAGAGATAAAAGAGCTCTCTAAAACTGGCCAGGAAGAGGTAGTGGAAGAGTCAAAGGCAAGCAAGCGATTGACCAAGAGGGTGAACCGAATGATTGGTCAGATAGACAAAATTATTAATGAATTAGAGACAAATCAAAAGACAGTGGATGTAAAGCTGGACGGTGGTGATAGTCCTTCTGCTGGGTAAGTGACTTGAGAGCACTGAATGTGTCTCTGACTGTTCATCTTCAGTCTTGCTTTTGTCTGATGTGTTACTAGAAAAGAATTAGCAAAGAAGTTGTTTAGAACGTTAAGATAATTTAATTTAAAAATAAAATTAACAAAATTGCTGTAGATTTTTCTCTCTTCTAAGGTACGTTAAATATGGTTGAAACGGGAAAGGAAAAAAGCAGGTATAATTTCCCAGATGCTAGTCCTGAGGGGGTTCTGAAAGTCGGTGTCTATTAGTATCTTACCCTCTTGTTCACGCCTGTAGCACTAACAGTGATGCAGGTGAAATCATGCCTTTAGTCGTGCTCCTCATGCAGTAGGTTTGCCCTGGGTCATTGATTGAAAAGGTGCACAACAGTATGGTAAGCACATTCATGTTTGTTGTTCTTTGGTAGTGAAGATGTCAGTGAGGAAAAAAATTGCAATAAAGTCTACTCTGTCTCTGGAGAGAAATGGCGGAACAGGTCTAATGGAAGTAAGAAGATAATTTTACATGATCCCTTTCTGAAAATTTGCTTTATTTCAACTTCGACACACTTGCACATTTTCAAAGAAAGATCTTTTTTGATAGTTTCATTGCAGAATTCATTTATTGACACTTCTCCAGGTCTTAAACTTACTGGAGTGTCTTTCAGGCAATCATATGTTGAATGGTCATATGTTGCATATTACAGGCACTGAAATGCCTAAAAACTGTGACTGTAATTCTCAGATTATGAATGCTGTATTAATCTGGTTTATGCTTGCACCATTTTGTGTGATTCATTAAGAGAACTTCCCGGCTCCCATAGAGCATAACCTAAACAGAAATAAGGATTCTGCTTTTGTTGCTTCCAAACTTTGTTTTTTCCAGTCCCCAGGGCAAACAGTCATTTGTTTCAGATTTTGTGTAATAAGATTAAGGTGGCCGTATGAATGGTGCTATAGAGTTGTTGTTGATCAAAACCATCCGAATTTGTAAATTAAAAATACAATATAGAATCTGCTTGTAACTGAATGTAATTATACGTTATGTAATGGATGGTTTTGTGGATAATTTCGTAAGTGATTGTAGATGACTGAAAATTATTAGTTTAAATATTGCTTAATTGTCAAAGGCTTGTTTTTTAACCTTCCAGTTGGTGCATCATTACCAAGCCATCAAGAGTCATAGAAATAACACAAGTCAAGGACATTTAGTGGCAGCTTGAGAAATGCTCCTTGAATAAAAGTCAGTCTGTGCCCAGAGGTTAGGGACAGGTATGGAGCTGGGACTATACTGATAAAGCCCTTCTGTTTAATATTTATTGGGTTCACTGTCTCCTGCATTTCAGCTTGACCTGTGCTGGAAGATGGTTCTTCAAACTAACAAAACTACACAGGCAAGCAGAGGCTTTAGGTTGCAGAAGACAGACCACTTTAGCTTCATGAGATCACTAAGCAGATGGCGGAAACATCTGAAACCTGCTAGTCACGATGTCAAGTTTAGTCCTTTCTTCTACAAAGTCTATTCCTTGATAGGAACAAATGAAGCCTATTTTAAGGAAACAGCTAAATTGCTAAAGCAATTAGTTCTCAGCTTTTGTTTTCCTGTGACTTTCATTAATTTTGTGTAGGCCAGCCTCTCTAAATCTAGAAGGATGACAGGTGCATGGCACTGTGTCTTTGGTAAATGGGGAGGGGGGGGCAAAGGGCATTAGATACACAGTCTGGGAAGCACAGAAACTGTGCTAAACTTTATTTCAAGTGCTACTGGATACTTGTATTTGTGCAATAAAGCACATGGAAACCAAAAGCATGAGATTCGATGGTAAGATAAAGATTCATTTGAAATCTGCTTGCTGATCAGTAACTCATTTTTGCTTTTTTTTGCATTCTGTTCAGGATTATAAATAAATAATTAATGTTTTTACAAATGACCTGCAGTGTAGTGACTTTCAGTACTGCCTTTTGTCAACTTTACTCCTTTGGAGTAACTGCTTGCCATGTACAGATTGTGCTTCCTCTTCAGGGAGAATCTCATTAGTATTGCTGAGCTAATTAATGTGATGAAACAAATTCAGAAGATTCCAGAGGAGAAGCTAACTAGGATTGCAGAGGCACTAGATGAAAACAAAGATGGCAAGATTGATATAGATAATGTTGTTAAGGTAAGTCTGTGGACTATTTAAAGAAAATAAGGCTAGCCATCCTTCAAACATTGTACCTGTTTTGACTTAAATTCATATTGCTGTCTTTTGCAAGAGTCTTTACTTGATACCAGTGAGGTTTTTGGTAATGTATTGTAAATAGATCTTGTAATATGTATTGGTATCTTCAGAATTTATATGGCTATTTTGGGGGGAGGAAATCTTTATCCTGTGTCTGTTACCCATGTTACCTTTAAAGCTGTAGGTTTGCCTGTATGCCTATGTCAAGTTCTGTAAAATATGGTAATTTTATTGTGCTACTTATGAATGGGAGGGAGGATGGGAAGCAGCTTTAGAAGAACTACTTTAGGAATATCACTATTAGCCAAAGTTTTGACATAATGCTTATAGATATACCTTATGTCGACACAAGATAATAGCTTTATATTCTGCATATAATGCAGAATAATTCTACGAATTTGAGGAGCTATGCCAAGAATACACTTGTACAAAAAGCTATATAAAGGAATTTGGAATCACCTCCTAAATTATTTTTTCATTTTGCTTTCAGAAAGGCCTGTCCCCCTCTACTTTAAGTTTTTGTAAATTTGTGCCTATTTAGTACAGTAGGTCTTTTTGATAAAATTAAGCCTATAAAATAAGTCTTAAATACTGTTTCAGCAGGTATTGAATCTGAGCTTTCCATTGGAACAGATACAATAAATGGGTCTGTTTTACTAATGCTTTAAAATGTGAGTCTTTGTGTGCTGAGGTCAAAAGTTTTAGATGATTTGCTTTAAGTTTTAGCTTTTTTTTTAATACTCTAGATATGTTTGAGGCACTGGTTGTGATTTGAATTTGTGTTTTGTGTGAGAAAAAACCCCACTGTTTTTCTTGAAGATGAGAGAACTGATTACTTTTTTTTGTCTTAACACAATTTATGATATGAAAATGCCTCTATCACGTAAAAACTAAACGCTCTCTCAATTTCATTTTATGTTCATGTAGGTAGTAGAACTGATTGACAAAGAAGATATTGATATTGGCACCAGTCAGGTTGCTGAGATTATGGCACTGCTTCAAAAAGAAGAAAAACTGGAAGTAAAAGAGAAAGCAAAGGAAAAGCATGATAAAGAAGCTGTGGAAGCAAAGAATTAAGCTTCAGAATCTGAAGCTAATCCCAATTGTAACCAAAACCTTGTATATCTTTCTGTGTCTAATGGCTACATATTACTTGAGCTTCGTCATTATGGGAGGTGTTTTGAGCTGATTCTAGTAATAAATCGTAGATATGTTTTCTGACATATGGAATGAAATTTCCGTTCATCAAAGAATTGATTTATATCTGTCATTCCATACAGATGAAAACAAAACATGCTTCTTTAGCAGCGCTCCTGCCCACAAAATCATGTATTTGCACTCGTTGTGGTACAGTGATCCATTAAACTTGCAAGTTTGCTGTATAAATTAAGTGTATCTATAATGGAAGAATGTTTCTCATTTATTTTCTTCCATCATTACATGGGGCCCAACCTTGCTCTGCTTCTACCTTTTAGCTTTTTCAGAATTTAATACAAACTTTCCCTTCCGTCACAATATTACATATTTTGTAACCTGTTAGTGAGGATTCTGTGGCTTCAGTAGTAGCTCTTTAGACTGAGTTTTATTTAAACTAAGTATCACTAAGCTGTTGCCTCACTGACAGAGAATGTGGCATTCTAATCACTTTTATGAATTCATGATTTTTTTTTTTTCTGTTGAAGGGAAAATCAGATTTATTTTTCCCTAGAATGGAAACTTCCCATGAAGTTTGCTTCTTATGGGTGCCTTAAATTTCTTAAGACTAGGCAGTAGAGGGTGTTGCTTCTACTCAAAATTCCATGAATTACTAAAGCATTGGAATCACAGGAGCCTTTAAAATAGTTTCAGAACACAATCTGTCACACAGTAAAGTGAGTTAAAGTGTTTGTCTAAATAGCAAAATGAAAGTAGTCATAAGGGGAAAATGTCAGTTGTGATCGTTTTGCATAAATTTTTTAAAAAATGCAGTTATCTTCGCATGTTTGTTGTTTTTCATCTGATAATTATTTACACCATAACTAGTTCTCTTACCTCTCAATTTTCATCTCAGGTATAAAGTCACTAACCAGGTATAGTCAAAGTACATAAATACTTTCATCTCATGGCCTTGCTTACTGTGCAGTCAGCAAGTCATGTCTGGTATTGCCAGTGCTTTGATTACATCATTGGCTTTCTAATGAATTGCTTATAGTTACTGTCTTTAACTGTGCGATTAAATACTGACAGTAGGTCAAGGTTTACTCATTAATGTCTGTCCTTAGTAGTAAATTTTTAAGTTTGAAAACTAAAATACCAACTCTGGGACGTTCCATAATTCCTGGTAGCCTAAATTTTCCACTCTTTCTTAAAGTCTGTTATGAAATACACAGTGTGACTTGAACCAGCAGGGTTGTGGTTTGGTTTTTTAATTTTATTTTTCTTTTGCACCCAGTATTATAAAATATATGAACATTCTTGATTTTGTGTACACTATAGAGAGCATATCTTACAATGGCGCTGTACACAGTGATATTGAAGTGGGCAGTTAGTACTTAATGCTTTTAGTCATGGTTGCATATTTTTGTAGAAAATGTTGACTCCCAAGAGTATTTCAGCACAATTCCATGTTCAGTATTTATCTAGATTGGCTAAATTGTTTTTAAAAACTTATTTGAAGTTAGTGGAACAAAAAAGTTTTGACAGTCTCATGGCTTGCATGATGGACCATTGTATTTAGTTGTTTCCAAAGCAAGATGTACAGTAAGATGTACAGTACAATTAATTCTAGAAAAAGGGTTGGTGTTTAGTTCAAGTATTGAGTTCATATTCTGTACAGTTTGCAAAGAAAGCTGCTTAAAGTAAAAAAGATCCTTCTGAGAATTACTGTAATTGTATCTGAAGTGTAAAATTGCTGTGAACAAAGCTGAAATTTCAGATCAGTACGATCTTTGTCGTTAATGTATCCCTAAAAAAGGGGCTGTTCTTGTCCTTGTAAATTGAGATTAACTTGGAGATTTCAGCATGAAAGTCCGTTTGTAGATTTTGAAGATAGGACTTCAGTAGGTGCTTTTTTAGGCCAAAACTTATCTTAGATGAAAAGGCAAGAGTAAAGCTAATTTCACAAAAATACAATTTTAAAACTAATTTTACATTGTATAATTTACAATTAGAATTAATGGGCTTTGAAGTATGCTAAATTTTGCAGTTGCATATCTTCAATTTGAAAACAGTGTAACGATGTTACTTAACATTCCTGAAACATGATAAAGATACTCTAAAATTGTTTGCTACCTTTCATGGAATATCAAAAACCTAAGGATTGTATGCACTCAATGCATGCAAGTTTAAAACAGGGAAGTAGCAGAAGACGCTGTTTTCAAAGATTTATTGATTAAAGTTTTACAGAGCTTTAACTGTCCTTCAGTAAATTATCTGATTGTAGTATTTGGGAGTTTAAGACACTTTGCTGCTGTTCTTTTTCTGTGTTTACTGTTCACTTAAATTTTCTGTGGATTAAAGAAGAAGGGAGCCAAAAATAGCTGTGGTTTTTTTTTTTTTATGAAGAATGTCCTGATTAAAATAATTGTGATACATTTATTGAACAATTTTAGCTTTTGGACTTGTTTGAAATTTGGCATATTTTGAAATTTTAACAGGTTGCATAAAATACATTTAAATGTCAATCACAAATGTCAGTTTCCCCCTAAAGCGTTACCTAAGGCGTTTAAAGGACGTACACATCAACCGTAGCGAAGCATTTTTGCGGGGAATACTTTCCTTCTGATGTTGAAAGTAGGCAAACCCATGACAGCTGGACTTGAACAACAGATGTTCTGCAAGCTTAAAAAGATTAGGAAGCCCTCGGTGATTCCCGTTTACCCGGTTTTGAACCTTCCCGAGCAGCTCTGTCCAGGCGATACAGACAACTCCAGCAAATCAGTGGCTTGAGGACTAGCTTCAGATAACGTGCTTTGTTCTCTTTCGTGTTGACCAAAAAAACCAGAAGCTGCAGTACTTTCAGAGAAAGGATGACTTCCGAGTGTACAGTAACTGGTCAGAACTTATTCCTGAATGAATATTTAATCAGGAGATGTAAATATTTGTTTAAATAATTAAAGAATGTGTGAGATTTCGGTGACCTTGTGACTTACACAGGCAAAGCCTCTAAGCTCAGAGTTAGGTAATCGGTAAGACCATTGTTGGGGTTGTTTCAGATTCAAATAAGATTAGATTTTGATTATTTGGGGGAAAAAATGTAAAATAAATAAAAAGCTTTTAAAAAAATCAATTTAGCAAGAGAGACAAGAAGTTAAAGTAGGATGTCATTTCTTTTTCCCCTTCAAACCAAGCAGGTTATAGGACCTATTTTATTGAAAAATTGGTTTCCTTTTCATATTAGCTCAAAAGATGTTTTTTACTGAGATTTTCATCACTGACTGCATGCTGTGCAAGTAAATCTGCCTGCAAGTTAAGTACCAGAAAGCTATTTTAATAGGTAGTTTGTCAGCAGGACTGCATGTAGGTAGAGAATATTCTCTTGACAGGGTAGTAACTTACACTTATGTAGGCTTTGTCTGGGGGAAAAAGTTACATCTTTTATACAACTCCAAAATACTTCTTGTAACTTTGTATCTACATACCTTGCTAATCATTTAAACTGTAGCTACTTCAGCATGTATTTAAATACTTTTAAATTGTTTATATCAAATTATTGGGTGTATTTAATTAAAAGAATAATCCCATATTGTGTCCTTTGTATGTATTCCAAGTTTTGCTTTTCAGTTGAAGAATTTCAGCCCGTGTTACAAATTTAAGTTGAAAATCATTTGTCTGTGCTCTGAGCATAGTGGTCCTGTGTTCGCCATAATGCAGTATAAAATTTGTTAAGTTAATTGGAGCTTGTGTCCTTTGTTTAGTTATAATAAATGTATCATTTTGAAACCTAATCTCTCCATTATATTTCTGTTGCTTTTGATTATTTAGTGTTAATTTATTGCTGTTCAGATGAGATGCCGGTCACAGAGCTGGACAGTGATGAGCTGAGTATTGTAACTGAAATGTTTAGGGTAGAAGAGGGCAAGTGAAGGACAAATCTTTAAACCGGGCTGGGTTGTGTGGGATTTGCGGGGGTGTTAATTCTTGCAGAGATTCTCTTGACAAATGTGGGACTGCTTGGCTGGTGTAGAGAATTGGGCTGAACCATTCTTTCTAACTATTACATTTTAGGTATGAAAGTGGGGAGCAGTGTACTCTTTACTATAAGGAATTAATGGAAAGGTTGAGATCTATTCCAAATAGAAATGAGTCTCCTGAGGAAGGATCCGTGTTTGGTCTTTGTTCAAGTTAGGGGAGAAAACACATGTGAAATGGTTCCAAAGACTGATTATTTTATGCCATGCTGTGCCGCTCGCCCCTGATTTTGCAAGATTATACGTATTCCTCTGTAATCCTAATATTCTTCACAAAGTTCATCTCAGTGTACAGCAGACTTTTAAGACTTGGGCATATCCAACAATATGCTTTTTCAGTTAAAAGCTGTTACCTCTCCTCCTGAAGCCTTGGCAGCCTGGGTGGGAAGGCAGAGAGCCCGAGCCAGCAAGGTGTCCCGTGCGTGTCTGGTCCCTTGGAAATAACCGAGCTACCTCAAATGTAATTTGTATTGCTGCTGCTTTGGAAGCTTCAGTGCTCTCTTGGGCCAGCTGTGGTCAGCGCTTACAGAAATGCATAGCAAAGATGACCCAGACCCAAAAGATCTGGAGGTCCTGTTGCAAAAGTAGTTAGTCTCCTTCCTGCTTTCCTATAGGATTTGGGAACGTGAAAACATGAATCTACTTTCTAGTGTCAAAGTATTTCAACAGATGTCTGAAAACAACCTCCTGCTTTGTGATGCTTTTAAAATAATAGATAAGCTAGGTTGTGTTGCAGCTTTTTCCTTTTTTTGCTTAAAGCCAAATATCAAATAAATGGCTTTAAAAGTGGCAGAACTTGTTCCTTCTAAGCTTTTGCTTTAAATATTTCCTTTAATGACAGACTTATTTAGGTTGAATAGGACTGTTTGTGCAGCAGTGTGGTAAAGCAGACTAGCTTGATCATAGTTACCCTGAATGCCCAAGAGAGAGTGTGACTTCTGGATCCAGTGTTGTCTTTGCTGAGATATACTGGTTATATCAAAGAAATTATGCTCTTTTCTAAACCTTTTTTAGACATCTATAACAACTATGTCTAAAGAAAAAAAATGTTAC